GAGTTGGGCCCTATATATATATATATATATATATATATATATATATAGATGTACGTATATATATATATATATGTGTGTGTGTGTATTGTTTGCGTTTTGTTTGTTTGTAGGATGGCGTTATGTTTGGTAGATTGTCTCCGCGCTCTCCGCCCCCTTTGCCTCGCGCTGACCCCAACACAACCCAAGTGCGTCTTTGCATGCATTTCAAGCCCCAAAAATGAATGCATGCATGTATGCCGTCCAAGCCCCACAAGGAAATGCATGCATGCATGCGTTTCAAGTCCCAAAAAGAAATGCATGCATGCATGCATGCATGCGTATGCTGCATGTGCTGCAAGCCCCATAGAGGCAATGCATGCATGCAGTTTTTTTTAGGGGCTGTTGTTGAGTAGGTGGAGCACTTCACAGCGTTGAGGCTGGTGCACATGCATTTGCGCTCGTTTGTCATGTGCATGCATGCACGCAGGGTTCTTGGGGCTTACTTGTCTTTAGTTGATATTCTTATAGAAGACGATGTGGCGCTCGTCCTCCAAAGGATGTCACCTGAAGACACTCACGTCTTAATGACGCTGGTATGTGGGCTAGGGTTTAGGGTTTATGGTTTAGGGTTTTGGGTTTAGGGTTTAGGGTTGATGGCGCAGGCTGTAGAGTTTGGAGTTTAGGGTTTAGGGTCTAGGGTTGCGAGTTTACCGGCTAGGGTTTAGGGTTTGTGGCTCACCGTTAGGGTTAGGGTTTAGGTCTAGGGTTAGGGATTAGGGTTTAGGGTTTAGGGTTTGTGGTTTAGGGTTTAGGGTCTAGCTGTCTTTTTTTAGTATTTTTTCAAGCTGAGGTTTTTGTGCAGATATTAGGAAGGCATTTGGTGTATGAGTTTTGTGTTATTCTTTTCCTTCTTCTCCTGCTGCTTCTTCTGCTGTTGCTGCTGCTGTTGCTGCTGCTGCTGCTGCTGATGCTGCTGCTTTTTTGCATGCATATAGGATGTGTGAATTTCTATTTATTTGCATGCAGGTGGAGCGCGGCGCGTTATCAGGGCAGACAAGATTAGCGAGTTGTGCATTAGAAAGTATTTATGTATTAGCAATGCATGCAGCAGATCTGCAGCTGCAAGGAGGTCTTTATAATCCTAGCTTAGATGCAGGTAAAGGGGTGGAGGCTCTCTTTGTTGCTACGCCCCAAGGAGACTCCGTCCAGCAGGTGTATGTACACCTCGCACAGGTAAACACTTTTACATGCAGCAGCAGCAGCAACGCTTGCATCCTTCAAGTAGCAGCAGCGCATGCATGCTGCATGCAGCAGAAGCATGCAGCATGCATGCATGCACAAACTGCAGTCCTTCCTCAGCACGCATGCGGAATAGAGGAAAATGCCACGCTGGTGCTCCTGTTGCTGCTGCTGCTGCTGCTGGTTCCGCTGCTGCTGTTGCTGCTGCTGCGTTGCAGCTGGCGACTGCTCTGCTGCAGAAGCTGCCCAACGAGCAAATGACTCCAGCGGTAGGCGGCAGATGCTTCAGACACATATCAGCGCACTTTGCCCTTATATATATATATATATATATATGCATATATATGGATGCATATATATAATATATATCATATATAATATATCTTATATATATACTTATACGGTGTTTACACAGGAATCATTCGTATATCCAGGATATGCTTTATCTACTGGTGTATTCTACTTGTACATCTGTATATGTATGTATACGCGTATCTGCATAGATAAGGGTATACATATATATATATGCGTGTATGTTGCGTGCGCTAGTGCTAAGGATAAGGAGAAGGGCTTAGGGTTTATGGTTTAGGGTTTAAGCCTAGGGTTTAGGGTTTTGCCAGCCGCCTTTTTTTGTCTATCTCTTGCACTGCATGCATGCATACATGTAATGCATGCATGCAACAAATGCATGCAATGCATGCATGCATTTAATGCGGTTGTGGGTTGTTGTTAACTTGTTTTTTATGCTGATTCAGGAACAAGATGTGATTGGGGCTTGTTTATTTGCTGCTCTCTTTTGTATTGGGGTTCGTGCCTTCGCTCTGCGGCATTTGCTGCGTTGTTTTGCTGCTAACTTCGCAGCTGTACGTACACCTGCTTGCTGCTGCTGTTGCTGTTGCTGTTGCTGTTGCTGCTGTTGCTGTTTTGTTGTGTGCATGCGATATGCCTTAATGATGAAGGCCCCGCCAGCCGTACGCATTGCAGAAATGTTTAGAGTTGTTATGCGCTGCAAACCCAAGAACATCCTTCTGCTGCTGCTGTTGCTGCTGCTGCTGCAGCAAGGCGCAGGTAGCTGGAGTGGGGGCTGCTCAACTCATTCGTTGGAGCAGAGAATTGAGGAGTTAGAGACGGCTGTCTTAGTTGCTGTGCGGGAGGCGCTGCCTGCTGATGCAGCAGCAACAGGTGCAGCAGCACCAGCAGCACCAGCAGCAGGAGCAGCAGCAGCAACGAATCAGGGGGCCCCTCCACGCTTCAGGCAGCAGCATTTCCACAAGAGAGAAGA